TATCTTTTGACTCTTCCATTTTAGATACTTTTCACCCATTTCCTATCTTGTAAGTAAGGATGTAGTTCTCTTACGTGGCCACTCTTTCCGCTCCCCAGCCATCCTCCTATGTAGTTCCCACAGGCATACTATTCACAGGGACCTAGCAGTGTTTTTCAAAAATGTTTTACGCATATATTAATATACAGGTAAGCATGTTGTGGGCAGGAGACTGGCCCCCCAAAGACAGCCACACTAATCCCCTGAACCTGTGGATATGTTACCTTATATGGCAACAGGTACTTTGATTAAATTAAGGATCTTGAGATGGAATTATCCTGGATTATCTGGGTGGACCCCGTGTAATCACAGGGATCCTTAGGCGTGAAAGACAGGGGCAGGAGAGGCAGCGAAAGAGATGTAAGGGAACAGGGTCAGAGTGATGCAGAGAAAGACTGGCCGTCGTGGCTATGAGGGGGGAAGGTGGCCACGAGCCAAGGAATGAGAGTAGCCAGCAGAAGCTGAAAGCATCAAGAAAATGGATTTCCCCCAGCGTCTCCAGTGCTGAGAAATATTTTGGACTTCTGACTTCCAGAACTGCGAGATAACAAATTTGTGTTGTGCTAAGCCATGAATTTTGTGCTAACCTGTAACAGCAGCAAGTAGGAAATTAATATACTATGTAGTATCACCCACATACACACACACATGTGTATGTATGTGTGTGTATTTGTTAAATCAAATAATGCAACTGTTATTTGCATTAAATCCACTAACATAACAGCTGAGCCTTACAGTGTACTACAGTAGTTGGCTTCCTTTTTGTTTTCTCTAATAATTCCCTTGTGTTTTCCTTTGCCTTCTTTTCTTCACACGTCTTGCTAATTCCTGCTACACCTTCTAATAGCTGTCAGCATGGCTTTCCACAAGACCAGTCATGTCAAGTACTATATATTTCCGTTCCATTTTTTTGGTGCCCATTCTCTTGCTCTCTGCACGTTGTCACTGCTGTTCTGTGACTTCCTTTTGTGGTCATCCTTACCATTCCCTTTGCCCTCCTTCTGGCTGGAGTTCCTGTTTTCTGGATCTCGTGTCTTCCTCTCGCGTGGTTTGCTTCCCCATTTGGAGCACATCACCCGGGACGGGTATCTGTCAGTATCCAAGTCCATCCGGTCCCTGTGTCCAGGTAGCCGAGTACGGACAGTGAGTGACACCTGTCGGGTTGAAAAGAGGTTCATTGGGAGGGTCCACAGTGCTGACAGCACTGACCGAGCCTGAGCCCTGAGTCAAGCTGCTTAGACCCGAACCACGGCCTTCCATGTTCTCTGGCCTCTTTCACCTTTGTCCCTTCTCTTGGAGGACATCTTCCCATGCTCCCTGAGAAAGGAGTGCCTGAAAAATCTCTTTATTCTACTTTCACACTTAAATGATCATTAGGCTGGGTAAAGAGTTCTAATTAGAGAATTATATTCAGAATTTCAAGGGTATTTCTCACCAACTGAGCTACCTGTTCAGGGCTTATTTTTCTTTTTAATCTGCTCCGTCTGTTGAGTTTTGTATTTCAACTAGCACAATTTTTTTTTTATTTCTAAGAGTACTTTTATGTTCTCTGAATGTTCTTTTTTAATAGCATCACATTCTTTTTTCATGAATGTAGTACTGTCTCTGTGCATAACATGTGTTTTGTTTGTTTTGGTTTTGGTTTTATCGGTCCTGGCCTTTATCTTCCAAGTTAGAGGCTTCCCTTACATGTCTAGAGCAGCGGTCGCCAACCGGTGGTCCACGGCCCACTGGTGATCTGTGAGGGCCGAAAGGTTGGCAACCACTGGTTTAAGAAAAACCTTTGGACCGGTGGTCGCCAACTGGTGGTCCGTGAGGTCCGAAAGGCTGGTGACTGCTGGTCTAGAGGTCCTTGGTTGTCCCTCCAAAGTTAAGGACAAGGGACTAAAAAGCTGATTGGACGATATGAGCGTGATGGTGGGGCTTGTTGACTTGCAGGTCCCCTGGTTGACCTACACGAGCCAGTTGGACACCACTTGGGTTCTGGTGTCAGTATTTGTATCCTTAGGCCTTTCCGCTTGGACTGAAAAGAAGGTAAGGGTTTTGCTGCCAGTGTTCTAGGAGCCCAGTGGGGGAGTAGCCGGTAGGACACAACATCCCATTTATAACCTTCATCTCCTTGGTCTTGGCATATTACCTTTACTCTCAACTGGCTAGTTGACATTTTGTGCAAAGACCCTCTGTTTTGTGCTCTATAGGGAATAACCCTTCAGACATCTGGGGGAGGCGGATGTAGGGGTTCTACTTCTTTTACTCCATCATCTTATTTTCACACATGCATCCTCGTCATCCCTGGTCCCGGAGGTACCGGTGCTGTCACATCAGGTGTCTGTTATGGACTCTGTTATAAATCAGTTTGCATGTGCTGCCTGAAATTTGGCCGCTGCAAGTCTGCTTTTCCAGATTCTGGAATTTCGTTGGTGGTGTCTCCCCTCTGTTCAGCCCACGCTGTGACTTTACATCTTATTTAAAAACCCTTTCCACTAAGTTGGATTTAGAAGGTCGCGAAATTGGTTATGTATAGTCAAAATCCCACTTCTTTTTCCACAGCAGTTTTATGATTGAACTAGTGATGATGGTGACCTTGTCCGTTGTGATACCGAAATATTTTCATGATGGGATTCCTTAAAAAATTGTTTTTATGTTGTGGTTATAAGCATTATTCATGGCCACTCTGCACATTAGCGGTACAAGGAAGGAAATAAAGGCTGCCTCTCATGGTGGTAGGGTCTTGGCAAGGATTTTTCTTTGGTGGCGTTTTTGTGGTGCAGCCTTTGGCGTGGGTGTGGAGGAGGCCTCAGCGCCAGGAGCAGCAGGGCCGTGCCTGGCAAAGAGCTGTCATGGTAGACACATGCCGCTGTGTTGGGGCTGTGGGACCAGGAGCAGATCCCTCCCCTTGGCAGGGGTACTTGAGAGAAAAGGGGGAGCTCCTAAGGCCAGGCGGGAAGCACCGCGTCCAGGCCTGGACCATGGCCACCGCGGCAGGCCCTCGAGAGGTGCAGTGCACGGCCTGCCTGGCCACACGCTGGATGGTTTTAGGTGGTGCTGGGTGCTTGTGCAGGACACTGACGGACAGGTCTGTTCCACTGAGTAACACAGAGGAATGTAAAGATCGGCCATGTCAGCTGCATTTGCTGTGGGGACAGTGATTGCAGCCGGATGGGGGCGGGGAGGAGGGAAGAGCATTTCTTTCCTGTCCAGTGTCCGCCGTGGTCGGGGCAACACCTTGCCATGCTCTGCTTTTCCCTCCGTCTTCCCCTCCTCACGGGCAGCCAGAGGTTCGCTGCAGGTCTGTTCTCACAGAAGCCCCCGGGGTGCTTCTCCGCCTCAGGGCAGCAGTATTTGCCTCTTACCCCTTAGATCCCATTCGGGGGCTCTTGGGGCTCAGCTTGGCAGGGCTGGAGGAGACGCCTGTAGATCTAGTCCAGCTGTCCACGCTGATGGATGAGGTAGGTGATAGGCCAGAGAAACCGAGTCAGGACTAGAACACACGTCTGCCAACTCCCGGCTCCGTGTTCTTTGTCACCAGATTCTGCCTCTCAGCGTGCACACCCTTTGGAAGGTTTTGATGTGGGGATTGGGGGTGTTTAAGCTAATCAGCGGAGCGGGTGTGAGTGGGACTCGCTGGCTTACCGTGGATGGAAGTCTCATAGAGTTCTGGGTTGGACCAGTTCTCCCGTGGGCTCCCAGGAGTCGTTTCGTGGGTGGTGTACGTTGGGGGACAGAGCTGCTTTAAAGAGAGATCTGGGTCCCAGCTTCTGCTTTGACACTGAATATGAACAAGTCCTAACCTTTTCGAGCCCAAATTCAACTGTAAACGAGGGGCAGTAATAATACCAGGAGCGGCCCAAGGGAGGAATGGCTGTCAGTGCTGAGCACAGCGCTGGACATGTGAGGCCATTCTCACTGTCGCCATCTACACCCTCCTGGGCTTGGGGAGCAGACATTCACTGCGCCAGCTCTGGGCTGAGCCTGGACGTGTGCCTTACACCTCAGGCTCCTAGGGCTCACCTGTATCTGGGTTTTAATGGACAGGGACCCCTGTCCTGGTCCTAAGAGGCCCCCCCCCCCCCCCACCACCACCACCAGCTCCAGCTTCCCCTCCACACCCTGGGCAGAGCCAGGACTGGGCACCCGCCTCCCAGCCAGGGGTTTGTCCCTGGGGAAGGGGCTGTGCCCTGGAGAGACCCAAGCCTGGGCTTTCTCTGCTTCCTCCTTTTCCAGGCGCCTGGCTGGAGGGGGAGGGAGGAGAAGCCCTAGAGGGAGGGGAGCCCCGTGAAGCAGAGCAGGAACTGGAAGGGGAAGGGTGTGGGTGGGCCCCATCCAGCCTGCCTCCCCTGTCCTCCTGCCAATCCCCGCCCCGGCCCTGGCCGGCTCTCTGGAGCAGGGGCTTGGCCCACTCGCCTTCTGGTGGGTGGGGAGCAGGCAAACTCTTTCTGCGTGAAGGGGGTGGAAGCCTGCAGCACTCCCACCCCCAGCGGAGGCCTGCGGCTTTGTTATTTCACTGGCTTGAGGCCCACACCTGAGACAGGGAGGATGAAAATCCCCTAAAATTCAGCTGTGTGGGTTCGGAGGGCCCCCCTCAAGGCCACCAGTTTCTGAAGGCAGATGGGGTGGCAGAGTGAGGGGTCTCACAGCCTCCCTCTGGGGGGCGGTGGTTGTGGGTAGCTTCTCCCCACCCGGTGTCCTGGCCCCAAGCGCTGCAGGCCTAGGCCTCAGCCCACAGCCCCAGCCAACCCCAGCTTTCTCTGCAGGCCCGAGCGCTGGTCCTAAAGCAAGGTGACATTCATCTCGCTACATCCTGTGACTGCTGCTCACTTCCTCCACGTGGGGTGGGAGCGGTGTGGGGGTGGCGTGCTGGGAGGACAGATTAGAAGGAAAATGTAGCTGGGCTGGGGACCTCTGGGATTTCCCAGGGGGCGGCTGGGGTGGGAGGGGTGTGGGAAGCGTTCAAAGGAAAGAACAGTCGTGAATGAAGAGAAGGGAGGAGGCGGGAGGCAGCTGGAAGTCCCAGAAGTGACTCCCACTGGGCCACAGCGACGCGGACACCCGGGGGGCTGGTGCCGCCTCGGAGGCAGAAGGGGCCCCGACGGAAGCCAGGCAGCGCCCGCCTGTGCCTCCGTTTCCCCGTTCTCTGCAGGACTAGGCTGCTGAGCTGCTGGTGAGCCGGGAAGGGAGCGAGGTGGGAGGAACAGGCCTCGCAGGCCAGCACCTGGGACTGCGGGCCCAGCCTGGAGGCGGGGGTGGGACCAGCGGGGCCTGGGTGGGGGTGCCCTGCCCCACTGACCCCTCTTCTCTCCCCCAACAGGTGGAGCCATCGGAACCCCCAAACCCGCCGGCAGCCTGAGGCAGAGTTTCACCGGACTGTTTCACTCCGCGCCCGCCGGATCTATGTCTAAGTTTTAACTCTCGGCTACAAAGACTAGGATCGTCCCTTCCCCAAAGCCAAGCCGCCCCCCAGCCCCGCGCAGCCCCAGCCTGCCTCCCGCCGCCCAGCTGCCCGCCATGCCCTCCAGCGGCCCCGGGGACACCAGCAGCTCCGCCCTGGAGCGGGAGGAGGACCGCAAGGTGAGCAGCTGGCTCTGCTGGGAACCTCCTAGCCCAGCCGCGGAGGGCCTGCCTCCCGGTCACACGGCTCAGAGTGCTGAGCGCTGGACCGCGCCGCTCCGCCTCCGCCCAGGGCCTAGTTGAGGACTGGGAGCTTGCAGAGGCCGATCCTGGTGGTGGAGTGGGACTTGGAGCCAGGTAGTCAGGATCCAGGACCCAGTCCTCCCCCCTCCCCCCTTCCTCCTTCCTCCTCCCTCTCTCCCGCGTGGTGTGTGAGCGGAGGTTCAAATCCTAGGTCTGTGTCTTTGTTGGGTTTGCCTGGCAGAGACCCCAGACCTGGATGCCTTTTGGGATTGGCCTTTTACTAGCTGTGTCCTTAGGTGAGTCACTTTACCTGTTTTAGCTGCTTGTTTCCCCAGGGTGTCCACTAGCTTCTGGAAGGCCAAGGACAAGTTCAGGGGGCCTTGGTAGATGTGACACCGTGTGAGGGCGCTGCCTCCAGCACAGACAGGCACAGGGCTGCAGTGTGCCACGTGCTGGAATGACACCAGTTGTCATGGAGATGGTGATTTCCTGTCCCCCTCCCTGACCCCAGGCTCCGAGCAAGTGGCACCTCTGCCCATGGAGCTGGTGACTTCCTTGTTTTCAGAGCTCTGTGAGGGGTGACCTCTTCGCCCTTCTGCCAAACTCCAGCATGGGCCTAAACCAGATAGAGGAGCTCACAGCAAACTGGTGGGAGTCCCTGCTGGGTCCCGACAGGCTGCCTTGGGACCTCACCAAGCTGTGTCACCCACAGACAACCCCCCCCTCCATCAGTGGAATAGTAAACCCTGCCACCACCCTTCTGGGAAAGCTGTCTCGGCCACTGGCCTTCCTGGGGTGCCCTATCTGTCATGCCGTGGTCCCCACAGTTCCCTCTGCCTGCTCCTCTTTCCCTGCGCAGGGGTGAGGGATGGTGGTTCTTGGTGGTATCCGGGGATATTCGTGGAGCACAGGCGTCTCTCTGGAATTGGCATGGACACCTGGCACTGGGTGTGTGGGCCCTGAGCACTTGGGGGAGTGGCAGCTCTGCCAGCCCTGTCGGGGCAGCTCTGCGTCCTGCTCCCTGCTCCCCTCCTTCCTGGGCTTGCTCATTGTACAGTGTGTTTCTGTTTTCTGGGTGGTTTCCATCTATTTGGTCCTTTAGGGACAACCCTTGAACAAGTGGGGCAAGGACAGATGGCCCTAGTTTACAGATGAGGAAGCTGAGCCCAGCTTAGTGGTGGGTCCAGATGGGAGCCTGCTCTCCCGCCTCCTGGATCAGAGCCTTTCCCACAGAGCCCCCCTGCGTGGGTCCTGGTATGGACACACACACGCACACGCACACACACGCATGCACCGGAGCATGAAGCCCAAACACCTGCCTTCCCGGCCGGGAAACCTGCTGAGTGCCATGGAGGAGTGCACACCCAACAAGCTGGAGAGAACGTGCCTGTGCGGCCCGCCGGCCGGGCTCCTGGGGCTACAGGTCATTTCCGTCTGGTCCCCACAGAAAAGGAACAGGTAGTCCAGGCTACCCACGGGTCTTCCGGGCGACTCCCAGCCAGGACTCAGGCAGCAGCAGACCCAGACCCTGCCGCCATCGAGTCGGCCATCTGTGGCCACCTGTGCTCTTGAGCGGCAGCTGCGGCCGTGGGTAATTCCCTGTCCTCCCTGAGCCTGGCTTTGCTTCTCTGTTGGATTAGGTGACCCTGGCCCTCCTCCCCTGGTCCGATGTCCTGACTGGTGCTGACACAGCTTTGTGTCCATGTACTTGCAGTTGATGGTCAGTCAGCTGCCCCCCACGGGTGGGGAAGGTGGGGACAGCTGGGCCAGACTCCTCCTGGTACTGGACCAGGCTGCCCTGGGCAGCAGAGCCGCTGGCCCTGCCGGGGAGAGCAGCAGGTGGGGTGCTCGGTTAAGACAGTTCAGAACAGAGAAAGCTGTTTCCCTGGGTGAAGAGGCAGTAGTCCCGGGTCCCAGCCCGAGGAGGCCACTTCCTGGAGATGTGACTTCAGGCCATCTGGGCTTGCGCTTGTTCAGCTGTGAAACGGGGATGGTAACTCTAGCTGTGCCTGTTCTGCAGGGTGTTGCGGAAGTCAGATGAGGTCATGGGCATGGAAGTGCCCTGCAGACAGCAAAGTCTGGTCCAATTATGAGGGATTACGATTGCTATTATTATCCACCCAGAGTAACTGCTCTGGCTCAAGCGGCAACAAACACATACCCAGCCCCAGATCCCGGTGCAGATAGAGCGAGCTGGTAGACTGGGGCTGGAGCACGCCCACAGCACACAGGCTGGCTCACCTGGAACACCTCCCTGGCACCTCTGGGCTGGCTCCCGAAGCTCCAGGAAGTTGCCAGGGAGGGTGGGTAGAGACACTGACAGCTGCCACAGCAGCCTGTGAAAGCCAGGCCTTGGGCAGGGGCGCCTTGTTGCTACAGAGGGGGAAGATGGGCTTGGAGCCCAAGGAGCCTGGCAGAGGTGCCAAGGGTACCTGGCACAAAGCAACTGCTTGGGAGCCAGAGGGAGGGGTGTGGCCACCCGCTGGCCCCTCCACCACCCGGCCCCACGTGCCCTTCCAGCTGCCCTCCCGGCCACGCCTCCATGCACCTTTCACTCCTGTACTTCCTGGAGCTGCCAGGCCTTTGTTTACGCTGTTTCCTCTGCCTGCAATGCCCTTTTCCTAATTGTCTCTCCTTTTCTCTGGTCGAAACCCTTGCTTTACTCTGCCTTGAGTTATAAATTGTTGTAAACCAGTGGTTCTCAGAATGTGGCTCTTATCCATTCCCCCATAGATGGACACTTACGTTGTTTCTTGGCCATTGTACATAATGCTGCAGTGAACTAGGGGTATAATGTTAAGTGAAATAAGTCAGAAAGGGAAAGACAAAGGTATATGATTTCACTCATATGCAGAATCTTAAAAGAAACTGAACAAACGAAATAAAACAAAAACTCAGAGAACAGATTGGTGGTTACCAGAGGGTTAAAAGGTTGAGGGGTGGGCAAAAGGGAGAGAGGGGTCATTTATATGGTGATGCGTAGCAACTACACTTTTGGGGGTGATCACTTTGTAATGTATACAGGTGTCGAATTATAATGTTGTACACTTGAAACTTAAATAATATCTAGAGGCCCGATGCACAAAATTCGTGCAAGAGTAGGCCTTCCTTCCCCCGGCTGCCGGCACCAGCTTCCCTCTGGCACCCGGGACCCGGGCTTCCCTCACAGCCCCGGCTTTGTCGGGAAGGTCTTCCGGAAGGATGTCCGGTGTAATTAGCATATTATGCTTTTATTATAATAGATTTAAAAAATGTGATTCCTAAACCAGCCACACCAGCACCTGGAAAGGTTAGAAATGCAAAAGCTTGGGCCTCCCCCCAGACCTGCTGACTCAGAAACTCTGGGGAAAGGGCCCAGCCATCGATGCTGTAACCAGTCCTGTAGGGGGTTTGAGAAATACCGGTGTGGATAATAGCCATCCCCACTGCTGCCAGTGGAGGGCAGGGCCTCAGGGCCTAACTGGCACAGAGTAGGTGCTCAGGAAATATTTTGCGGATAAAATAGAGAAGAAAATGACAGGGGGTGAGACCCCTTCACCAGAGAGCAATCCCAGAGCCAGGATCAGGAGGTGGGGTGCAGAGCTGTGGATGACGGGCTGAGGTGGCCACGCTGTGGCTGGGCGTGCACAGAGAGGTCTGTGTATGTGGTATCTCCCTAGCACCTGCCCAGCATCCTTTCTCCCTGCAGCCTCCCAACCATATGGGGGGCTTCTTGGGGAAGCTGGAAGGAGGCAAGCTTTGGGGGTCTGAGCTCCTATGCTCTGGCCAGGATGGGTCAGCTGAGTAAATGTGGGCCACAGCAGAGCGAGGGGAGCTAGCCTTAGGGGAGATGGTGGGAGGCCAGGAATCTGGGTCCTGGCTTAGAGAGGATTAGGGAGGCAGGGCACCAGGTCCTGTGTGGAGGGGAGAAAGAGGGGCAGAGGCAACAGCAAAGAGGACCAAGAGCATTCCAAGCCTCAGGGCTGGAAGGACCTCCTCGGATACCCATGTTATGAATCAGTGCCTGGCCAGGAACCCACGGCTCTGGCTGGATCCCGATCTCGCTGCTTCCCAATCTCTTTTGGCCCAGATGCATTCAGTGCTGATGATCTGCCAGGTGCTCTTTGAAGCTCTGTACTTGCATTCTCTTGTTTCATTCTTATAATTGCTCTATAAATTAGGCACTATTACTTTTTATCACTTAATCTGGTCAGCAAGAAGGAACCCTGATTACCATGCAGAAATGGTCCCAAACAAAGGCCCTTGACGTTTCAGGACCGGCAAGCCCCAGCTCCCATCGGCACGTGGAGAAAGCCTTTGGGGGCCCCTGTGCCATGTGCCGGACTGTTACTCCTCACCTTAGGCCACATGTGCTCAGCACCTTGTTTCCCCTGTTGAATTCAGCTCAGCCCAGGAGAAAGGGGTGGAATGCCCTGATGCCACGCCACCTGTCCAGGTCCTGACCTGGCTGAGAGTGTGGGGTTCCCCAGGGAGGCTGCCGTGGACTGAGCCTGTGCCTCAGGCCACTGTGGGGCAAGGTGCTTTATGCCTGGACCAGCATTCAGGCCTGGGGCACCCCTGGGCTGTGCTTAAGAAACCAAAGGTCCACGAGAGCCTGGGTTAGGACTCGCACCCGGGTCTGAGTGACGCCAGGCCCTTCCCCTCAGGCCCTGGAGCACGGCTTTGTGAAAAGCATGTTGTTCTCGGTCAACATATCATTCTTCCTCGATGTAGTCATAAGTCACAGGGCAAAGGGGGAAGTGGCGTCTGGTGCTCCGGCCCTGACTGTGTTCACACGGCCAGCTAGGGGCTAAGCCACCGAGAAGGGTGAGCAGGTGGCGCGGGGCCGCGTCCCTTGAGGAGGCAGGGCGTAGCCAGGGGTTCATTCTCGCCTCTGACATGGGACCCGTTTCATTCAATATCTTTGCTGAGCGAAGGAATTTAAAATATGCTTATCAAATCTGCAAGTAGCACCGAATTAGGAAGCGTCGCTAATACTCTGAAAGGGGAGACTCTGATCCACAGGACTCAGAGCAGCTGGAAACCAGTAACGAATTTAGCAGGAACAGATCTGAGCCCAGGCTGGTTTCCTCATCTGTCAAGTAAGGGAATTAATTAGTTCCCTTCCACTGGGAACTGGCAGGAGGGGCTGAACTTCTTCCTAGGTGGGCTCTGGGAGGGCAGAGGCGGGCTGGACTTTTGGCTCTGCCCTTTACTACAAATAACTTCAAGAATGTTTAACCTCTCTGGGTCTCACTTTTCTCACCTACAAAATGGGGCTGATAATAGCTCTCTCACAGCCATGTTACAATTAAGTGAGGTAATAAATATGGGAAGTTGACATGTGATACTCACTCAAGAATGGCTAACCTCCTCCGCTCCCACAGCACATCCCAACCAGAACTATTCTCAAAAAGTGCATCACTCCCTCCTTGCCCCGTCCTCCCTCCTGCCCCATGCAGACCCCAGCTCAGGGCCCTGCATATGCAGCCATCACTCACTGCGACAGACACATCCGCCATCTGGCTGCGACTGCTGCAGGGGGATACTCAGGGACACTGGAGCTCCGCGATCTTTCCAAAATGCAAAGCTGATTATGTCACTCGCAGAGCTTAAGCCCCTGCTGAGGGGCTCCCAGGAGCCCACAGGATCAAGCCAAGCTCCTTAGCCCGTGTGAAGGAAAGCCCCTCAGGATCTGGCCAGCAGCCTGGGCCTCCTCTCTCCATTGCCTTCCTCCCACCTGTGTGCAAACAGACAGCACCAGGTGTGAAAGCGGGCTGCTTCCCTCCCCAGCACCTTGGCTTAGACCCTTCCTTCTACCCCAGCTACCTTCCCTCTGGTTGGCCAGCAGACCTTGAATTTTCCAGCTTACTTCCTGAATTCCCTTCTCCTGGACCTCCTCCTCCCATCCCCCACTTAGAATGAATTTATAGGTCCTTCTCCTTTAGCACCCACCATCCAGCACTGCAACTGCCAACTACTGTCCTAGCCAGGCCACCAGCTCCATGAGGTAAGGGACTGTGTCTTATTCACCTTGGCACCCCCAGTGCCGAGACTGATGCACCTGACATAGGGAAGGCACTCAAAAATACTTGATGTGTGACTGTCGCACAGTAGGTGCTCAATAAATGAGTTCATGCACACAGAGAGGCACACGCACAAATCCGCTAGCCTGCACAAGTGCAACCATGCATGAGGCTCCAGTGCCACTCTGATCATTATGACTCCAGTGTGCTCTACAGGCTTAAATATAATCATGTCACTTTACATTTATATATGTAACTCTTTACAGCTTTCAAAGCACCTTCACATGTGGTGGCCTGTTAGATTAGGGAGCTACCGTCAGCCTCTCTCGATGTCTGAGGCTACGCTTTGACCTACATTTTAACTCAGCTCACTGGATGGATTATTTTAAGTCACATACAACTTCTCATTCTGATGAGCTGGACTATGGCGATAATAATCTCTCAAATCTACGGTACATTGTAATTAACCAAGCATTTCACATACATTATTTCATTTTTATTCTTACACTTTACAGGAAGCAGAGATGGTATTATTCTTTTTCCATTAGACAGGCGGGAAATCTGAAGCTCAGAGAGGTTATCTAACCAGAGGAGAGCCAGGAAGTGAGGCCTTTAGAATAAAAATTTAAGTATTTTGATTCTCAGCCTAATGGGTCTTTCCACTACATACCCTACTGCAGTGATGGCGAACCTTTTGAGCTCGGCGTGTCAGCATTTTGAAAAACCCTAACTTAACTCTGGTGCCATGTCACATATAGAAATTTTTTGATATTTGCAACCATAGTAAAACAAAGATGTATATTTTTGATATTTATTTTATATATTTAAATGCCATTTAACAAAGAAAAATCAACCAAAAAAAATGAGTTCGCGTGTCACCTCTGACACGCGTGTCATAGGTTCGCCATCACTGCCCTACTGTGCAGTGTGCTACTGACACATGTGAGCAAGTGTGCACACACACACACACACACACACACAGTAAAATTATAAGCATGCAGGCAAACCAAGGTGAAGGTACACACCGGCCTTCACGTGCACACATCCACACACAGCTGTCCCAGGAGCCTCACACCGAGACACGGTACCCATCTCTCCAAGAGAGATGCATCCCACCAAGCCCGCCCCCACAGCCAGCCAGCCAGACGTACGTGCTCCTTCAGGACGTACACCGGATGCCCTGACCCAGCATCCGCTGAGCAGATGTCTCAAGTTGGTGTTTGAGTAGAGGGGATGAACTTGATGGATCTAGCCAGCCACTTGCCCAGGCCCCCTGGGACAAGAAGCATGTGCAGCCTTTGCCAGCTGGCTGGCTGGCCTCCCAGGGCCCGCCTGTGATTGTGAAATTCAGTGAAACGAATTGGCTTCTCCGGCCAGCAGAGCCCTGTCTGGACCGCCTGAGTACCAGGTCTGCAGAGATATAGCCACAGGACCCCGTACACACCCACTCACACACACATGCTCACATGCACGGCCTGCCCAGGTGGGGCCTGCAGAGAGGTGAGCAGCAGGTGTGCTGCTAGACGATGAGCAGGGAGGGACAGAGGCTGACGGTGTGAACGGCCACATTACACGCGTGGCACTGGAATCACTGTAAATGCTCATGCTTCCACACAGCCCTCCAGAGCCGCTGGTCTTTCTGATCTCAGTCACCTCTTTCATTGGCTGCCTAGTGGACCTCATAATAATAACTGAGGGGGGTCAAGGTGAACCAGGACATTGACCCTGAGATGATCCTGGGAGGTGACAGGCATATGCAATGCTAGCACCACATGGCAGACCCTTCAGGATCTATTATATATACAGCATCTGCAAAAGGCCTCATTGCCTACCAGTCCTCGTTCCAAGTGTTGCATGTACTGCCAGTATTCATTACTAAATTTAATATTGCTTTCCTTGTGATGTTACTCTTTTCAATAAAGATGATTCATTAAATAGACCTCTAATTTAATTTTGTACTGTGTAAGACTTTCTTCCATATAAATAAATTCATATCCCAAACACCATCTTTGTCAGTGCGTGTCGTGATTCTGCAATTCAGAAATGTGGCCGCCAGGAGGGAGAGCTGCGTTTGCACGGGGTATCTGGGGCTGCCCCTAAGCCCCCCGCGGGTATATTTAAATGAGGCGCTCAGGGTGGCTCAAGCTTTTCCTGGCAGAAGGGGGTGACGTTTATCCCTGCCATGGGGGGACCACATGGCACAGGCCGGGAGTGGGGCTGTGGTGGGGGTGGCACGGGGAGGAGGCCTGTTGGATCCAGCCGTGGCTTCACAGGCTGTGTCTGTGCCCGCAGGAGGGAGAGGAGCAGGAGGAGGCGCGTGGCAAGGAGGAGCGGCAGGAGCCCAGCACCACTGCACGGAAGGTGGGGCGGCCTGGGAGAAAGCGCAAGCACCTCCTGGTGAGTGTCCTGGCACCCCCACAGCACACGCGCACATGCGCACACGCACACACGCACACACGCACACGCACACGCACACACGCAGTGATGGGTGTCTTGCAGGCCCCTGGGTATGTGAAGACACTGCGATGTGGTCGCTTCTCCATTCTTTGAGCCCCTCAACCACTCCCATGGTTTCCCTTTTCTACATGGAAACTGGGTTCGGGCAGAGCAGGGACTTGAACCAGGCCCCTGACTCCCGCCTTCCCTCTGAAAGGGCAGCAAGAATCCCGACAGGGCAGAACTTGCTTCTGCCTAACCTGCCTGCACTGGCCCCGCCCTCCCCATCCACACACCCACCCAGAGGACCGGAGGATGGGAGCTGAGATAGGGGTCTGATCAGAGTGAGTAGGGAAGACACGCAGGCTAAGAAGGCCCTGTGTACGGGAGGAGAACTGGGTCCTGGTTAAGTCCCACGGAAGTGTAGGCACAGGCTGCCCGCAAGCCCCAGGCAGCCAGGTGCTGCTGCCCCCGAGTCTAGGAGGGGCTCAGGTTGCCCACGATGAGGAGTGCTCTGGAGGGCAAGGCCTGCGGGCTGTAGCCTGCCTTCCTATGCCTTAAACTGAGGCAGAGCAATGATTATCTGCCAGTACCAGAGACAGCTGGTTCCTTTCTTTTAGCCCCTTCCAGCTGCGAATGGGAAACTTGAGGCAGGAAGGTAAGGAGAGGAGCCAGAGCTCCGGATTTGTGACTGCCCTTCAAGGAAATGCTCTCAGCAGAGCAGAGTCTCCCCTTGGGCAGCACCAGGGTGAAGGGCTGGCGTGAAAGGAGACAGCTGAGGGCGGGAGGGCGGGCCGCAACAGCTGGGCCTGGGTGGTTCTCAGAGCCTGGGGCTGGGGAACCTGCATGGTCGAAGTGCACCATTCCCAATTCTGCTTCAAGATGTGGAGAGGAAGGGGAGGGGAGGGGGTAGAAATGAAGGCATTTAACTGTTAATTTTAGGCATTTTAATATCAACGGAAACATGAGTATTTTATGTCCTGGAATGAAAAATTCACATGAAGTTGAAAGATAAAACAGGGGACTTTAAAGGAATGTCCAGTTTGCAGCAGACTCCAGGCTGCATCCTGGGGTGCGTTCCCAGGGTGCCCCTCCATTCACCTCCACCCACAGGGCACCTAGTGGGAGAAGGCGGACACAGTGCCAGCTGGAGTGGGTGGGGAGCCAGGCTGAGTCAGAGACCATGTGATTGCACACCTGCACGTGTGCCCATGACCCACCGTCCCCGATCTGGGTGCTGGGGATAAGGGCCCCCACCTATAGCAAATGAAGACCTTGCAACCCTTTGACGCCTCCCTGTGAGCCCCTGGAGCCAGCGGGAGGGTACATCACTGCGAGGTGGGGTGCAGCCCCGGGGGCAGGAGGGAGGTGTGTGGAAATGTGTCCAGAGATGTACACACGAGAGGTGAGAGGGGTACGGCCGAGTGGGGAAGGGGCAGTGCGCGTCATGTGTTTCCAGCTTGGAACAGGGCGCAGTGTGGAAGGAACAGTCTGCATGTGGAGTCCAGCAGGCCTGGTTTAAATCCACCTGGGTAACCAGGTCCCCCTTCCAAAAATCAGAGATGATAAGCATGCGTTCCTCCTAGACCAGTGGTTCTCAACCTTCTGGCCCTTTAAATACACTTCCTCATGTTGTGACCCAACCATAAAATTGTTGTCGTTGCTACTTCATAACTGTAATGTTGCTACTGTGATGAATCGTCATGTAAATATCTGATATGCAGGATGGTCTTAGGCGACCCCTGTGGAAGGATCGTTCGACCGCCAAAGGGGTCGTGACCCACAGGTGAGAACCGCTGTCCTAGACCCAGGGAGAATTCAATGGATTCAGTCACCAAAGAGCTAGTGCTCAACAGGGATCTGTCCTGTCCTTGCTGGCCAGACCTTCCTCTTCAGGAGGCCACAGCAACCTCAGTTGGACAGAAGAAACAGCACTGGGTTGACCGTAGCCCAGCTGTGTGATCCTGGGCAGGTTCTGGAACACCTCTGAGCTTCCGCGTGTCGGTACAATGTGGCCAGAAGTCACACCTGCCCTGGCCACTCCGGTGGTGCTTTGCATCAGCAAAGTGATTCCAAACGCGCAGGCCGTGTTCTAGATGACACCTCAAGATAGGCCCCAGGAAAGGAGAGAGAGCGTGGGGAAGGCAAGCCTGATGGGAAGGCGTGAGGCTGAGGCAGCTGTTGGGACGGAACCCCTTGCACATCGGGGAAGCAGAGCAAGACTGACCCCAAGGAAAGCAGCCAGCACAGCGCTTCCTGGACAGCAGGGCCCGGGGCGGGGGTAGGGGATTGGGCAGCCGAGGAGGAAATTCATGCTACAGCAAGAGGTCAGTCAACCCCTGGTCCCTGGACCTACAGGCCATCTGGTTCTCTTGTGCTTGAGCAGATGCTTGACCTGGCGCCTCCCTCCCTCCCCAGCAGAGGAGCACAGCAGGGAAGGTTTCTGGGGACCTGGTGCCGCTGTGGCCCTGAGAACGACTGGCCAGGGAGCTTGGAGCAGCTGAGTGTGTGTCATCCAGCTAAGCTGGAAAGGGGAGGGAGCTGGGCTCGGGTCCCAACAGGTGGAATAGAGGGAGAAGTGCTGGGAAGCAAGAGAGGAAAACCTGGCTTCGGGCTGGGCTCTTTATTTGTGCAAAGGTTGCATGAGCTACATCTGTTAGTGTCCTCGATATCCCTCCCGGGCCCAAGGTTAGGAAATCTTTGCCCCCAAGGCCTATCTGCTCTGGGTGCCTTCCACTCATTCCTGCTCCTGCACCTGCCTCCTGGCTGCACCCTCACCCAGTCCTGACCCCAGGATGGTTTCCCAGCCCCCAGCCCTTCCTCCCCCAGGACAAATACTTCATACCCACCGAGCACCTACCAGGGTGGGGGAGGCCGCACAGATCGGTAAGACTTAGCTTTCAACCGAGGAAGCTAGAAAGGAGACCACACATAATTCTACCTAACACAGCCCGTGGCACATCTCTGCTCAAGAATCTCCAGGGACTGTTTCTTATGGAACAAGATCTGGAATGTTCCATCTGGCTCCTTACCACGGGGTCTCTCCTGCCCCTGTGCTGGTGCTCAGTATCCACCTCTTGCCACAGAAACAGAAACCCCCTCTTCTTGCTGCTCCTTGAACACATCAAGCGTGTTTCCCAGCCTTCTCTTTTCTCCGCCTGCCCCAGAGCCCAGCCCGTCAAGCCTGCCTTGCGAAGGCAGCCCAGCTCAGCCAGCACGAACCACACTGATGCTCCCTGTTGAACTGTTTGTAAAATTAATCAAAATGAACACCGAGAAATTAAAGACATGTGCTGTCACCTGTCTCTATACAATTTGAGAATAAGTGTTTAGAAACTTTTATATCAGTTTGATACTATGGCCACATCCAAGTGCATGATTTTGTATTTCTCAAAGGTTACATTTCTTGATGGATTGGGAATTAAAAAAAAAAAGGCAAAAATCTAGCCTCTCACCCCCGACAGTTGGAAAAGCAGGTGGAAAGAGCCTGGCTTTCCACGAGATGTGATGTTTGGTGCCACCAGCCTGGTAGTCACTGAGCTGAGCCGCAGAGCACTGTACCCACCTCACTGAGGACAGAGACCGTGAATAAATGCTCAGAGCTGTGCAACCCCTGATGCCTACAAAGGCCTTTACAACAGTGACTCAGGTGATGCTGACGGCAAACCTGTGAGGTTGAGATGGGGGCCCGCTTTGCCACCTTCCTCACATTCAGATGAGGAGACTGAGTGAGGTTCAGAGTGGATGGCCTCCACACCTCCCAGCCGCAAAGCCCACAGCGCTCGTCCCTCCTCACCCCTCCGGTCACGCCACCCTGAAAACTGGGTGTCCAGCATTTTACTTGTTAATATGTGAGCGCAGGGCTCTTTGAAAAAGTGTGTAGATCTGGTCCAAAAAGCACACAGAGAAAATATAACCTAGGGGGGCGATTGACCCAAATACCAGGGAGCCCACCAGGAAATGAGTAAGGCTGTGGTGGTGTGAGGAGGGAGAGGGGGGCACACTGAGACCGGCATGGCTTCGTCCGCTGCACTGGCCTCAGAGCCAAGACGCTTTCTTTCGATCAGAGCCGGCAACAGGAAACAGGAAGCCGCTGCCGGGCAGGGCGGGGCTTAGGAAGGGAGCTGGCACCTGAAGTCAGGGCCTGCGGGCTGGCGGGTGCCCATGACAGGGAGGAGGGGACACTGGCATGCCGGGCTGGTCTCTGCTGGCCAAGAGTGTGAGCCTGCGTGTGGGTGTGAGCAGCGGGGGTGGGCGGAAGAGGCATCTTCCTGTTCGCCAGCTCCCAAGGACGGCACAGAGTACGGAGTGAAGATGTCCGAGGCAGGTTCCTGCCTGGTCACAAGCCCAGACAAGCCCTGCAACTGCCTTTGTCCTTGGCGCTGCTCACAGCTGGGGTACCCGGAGGGAGGGTTCCTGCCCGGGCCCAGCAGACCTTCTAGGGGATGACCAGCCCTTCCGGGCTCATGGCCTCTTTAGTAGCTCGATGTACTTACTTACTGAAGATTTATACCCACCAACTCCCTCCAGGGTTAATTTTGCTCAGTGGGAGCACCCTGAGGTCACCTCTTGCTAAGAATAACCCAGAAGGGGAGGGCGGGGAGGGGGAGGAGGGGCAGGAGGGGCTGGGAGCAGGCGCTGAGCTCAGCCAGGCCGGCCCAGAGCCAGCAGTTACTCACTCCACGCCGAACCTCCAACATGACGCCTGAGTGAGTGAGTTCCAGAGGGCAGAACTGCCCCACTTCAGAGCCAAAGACGGGGTACGGACTGTGGGAAGGCAGGGAACCCTCCTCTGCGGAGAAGCCGGCCGGGTCCCGGGTAACGCAGCTGCTGGGAGTCTGCAGCGCCGGCTCATCTCCCAACCTGGCATGACCTTCTGATTCATCTCCAAGTTAAGACAGAGCCCAGATCCCCTCTGTGTCCAGGTCAGAGCCACTCCTTCGCTTGCCCCCCGGAACCCT